ATTTGACCACGGGCCACAACATATTATTACCAAAACATGAAATAACTTAAACTCCAAGAAAAAATCCAATGGGTGGGGAGTGCCACCCATGTGCGGCACATGTGGGCCCCACCCACTTGACACATGGTGGGCCCATGTGTATTATGGGCCCCTCCATGATATTTTATATAATTTTAAATTATCAAAAAAAGTTCTAAAACATTATTTGAGTTTTATAATATTGTAAAATCAATATCTTCATTTTTATAAGTCCAAATAAAATTATAAATAAAATATCAAGTGACTCATAAAAATCAAATAATAATTCTAAAATAATTTATATTATAAAACAAACATAATTAAATTAACTTGATGATAAATGAATCCATATGGTTAAGGAATTTAATCTCCAATCATGAAGCACTCCACCTTCAATTGTGAACTACAGATCACACTTGCCTTATCGACTGAGTGTTTCCCATGACCCACAGTCCAAGCAGAGGCTCATTAGCAGATCACTAAAGTCTGACGGATGAGCCAAGGGTTGCAATCCCAGTATGTGGATTACATGTCATCCATTAGAGACAAGTCAAGATCACCAATACCTTATGCGACTACAGCTCTATGGCCTATAGGGGTATCTCTCGCACGTGCATACGCTTCACCCTAAAAGGTAGATTTCTGGCTTTTTCGAACGATCTATCGATATGCATGCCGTGTGATGGTACATGAATGAGGTTTTGGCCCCTGTCTCTGTAGGCCACCATCACACGCAAGGGTACACAGTCATTCGGCTCACTCATCTAGGCATGTTCTCCGATCTCATCAAGGGCTAACTCATAAACCCTCATCGGTTTGTTCTTTGTGCGCAGGTAATATAGGTTTTACGCAACCGACTAGCCTAGATCGTTAAGCACAGATCGGTATCAGCAAACCATCGTTTGCTTAGTATGGTCTACGCGGGACCACACTCCCATTGAGTTTATGTTCTACGATATCATTTCATTTTATAAACACTCATAAAGCCTTTAAAGGCCACATAAACCCAACACACACACATGCGCACACACACACACACACATATATATATATATCAGCTTTCTAAGTCCTAGAAAAATAATTTTGATTTGTCTAATTAGAAAGACATATTATGTTAAAATTCCTTATCTCTTGGACATGTACATTTTTATTTTTTTTATTTTTTTTTGACACATGTCCACCTTTAGCTCTAATTTAATAATGTAGTGCAGCAGAGAGAAAATTATTTTGGAAAAAATAATTGGATGAGATAGTCTAAATGTTTTATAACTATTTTGGTCAGATTATTTTTTGTAAATTCATTTTATATGCTTTCGAGTGCACTTCAGCGTGACACAAATACCTTCAAAATTTCACCTCGTACAAAAATTAAGTATTATTGGTCCGCAGCATGGTCGGGCCCTAAAAACAAGTAAGGCCTGGGCTCCAAGATGCTGCCTAAAAGCCGAGCTTTGTCTAGGCGATCTGGGTCAGGTTTGGTTTGGATCCTTCTTTTTTTACTTTTTTAATCATTTTTTTTTTAATTGTATTGTATTTCGACTAGCTCGGTCCTATCAAGAGTAGTTGCAGCCTTGGCCAACGTACAATGACCGGGACAATCCTATGGGTCTAGGGCCGGGCCACTGCCAAGGCTGCCCCAGGTGGCTTTTTGCCAGCCCTAGATCCGATGAGGCCCTACAGTTGCCTCGCTCACTGTGAATACTCATCTTAACCTAACTTATCAACTATCAACGGTCAAGATGACATAAAGCTTTTTGTTTACGAAATACATGAATCACTATGAATAATTTTCGCGGCATGTAAGCATCGTTGCGACTTTCGAGCCAGGGGCTAAGTACCAAAAGAGGCGAATTAGGTTTTTTAGGGTTTCTCCTTTTCTCAGGCCGGGAAAAGAAATACTCTCTTCGCTTCCTCTCTAGGTTAATTAACAATGGTGAGCAACCTCCTGCTTCCTTTTTCTGATGCGTCATATATTATTGTCCATACATTTTAATATTGCAGTTCTGCTTCCATTTCTACTACCATAGCTGTTCATAGAAGCTGTGCTTTTTCACTCAGAAATGTTTTCGGCTGAGCACAAGTTCTGTGTTCTGATATGTAAAAAAATATTGTTGCTTGAAGATTTTTGAGTGTTTTCGTTGATTAATTGAATCTGTCCATGCCTTTGTCGAAACAATCATCTTTGGTTCTCTTATCATTTCAATTTATTGATGTTACACTGTAGCTTATGTGATATTGTGTCACATAGAAAACGAAATTTGTGCTGTTTTGTTATTTTCTATGGTTTTGAATATTACAAGTGGGTTGAGAAGTTGATTTCATAATTATAAATCGTAATTTGTTGAATTTTTGGGAGAATTTATTGCTCGGGCGGGCACGATCATTTTTTTGCTGAAAGATCCATTACCTCTGACTTTTGCAATATGTCTATTTCTTTGTTATTGGTAGCCCACTACTTTGTTATTGATTTATTTTTCCTTTCCGATAAATTACTACATCGTTATTGGTTGTCTAATGGATCTAACGTTGGGGGGTTTACTTATTATTCCCATTCCAATAACACTGATTCATCTATTTAACAGCACAATTCATGCTTCTTATACGATTCTCAAGATCAAAAGTAATTTAATTCAGATCACGTTATTGTTACTATCCACAAGTTTATAGATAATTTGTCATGTTAAGGATGCATGGGAATATTGATTGGAAGTGTTCTATCAGACCTTTCAGTATTTAAGGAGTTATAACCGAATACCATTGGGCTTATTTGGGATGGGATTTTTAATACACATCCGGGAGGGGTTTAAATAATGTGGTATAATGAAGGAATTTGCAAATTTTAGTCCAAGAGAACGTGTTTATATCTCTGACTGCAAGCATAAGATCATTGTCTATCAACTCCAATGTGGAGTCATGTTACTCCATTGGGGCCTACACTCCACCAGCACTGGCACTTTCACCTCGACTGACTTCTGGGGCCTTTGTGCTTAACTGTCTCCTGTCTTTCTTTTGCTAACAACATTGTGTCTGGCATATATTTTTATTCCTGAAATGTATGCTTTCTGACCCTTTCTGCCACCTCTAGATCTGCCCCCTATCCACCATCATTGCATTCTTGAGCAATGCCCTTCGATAATCTGTCTATTTTTTTGTTTTACAGTCTTTCAAGCTAGCTATTGTAGCTGCCATCTCATTATTTATTACCTTATTTATTACCCCAATTACTTTATCACATGATCACACCGAAGTAAACTGCTTCCCATCTGCTTTGTATCATCTTTTGATTCTATTTTTCAAACATCCCTTAGCCCATAGTTCTATAATTGCTATATTCAGTTTTGATCTGAAGAACATAGTTGGATGGTGTTTTTGTTGATTAGATAAATGCTCAAAGCAAGGGAAGAGATGTGTTTTTGGCAAGTTAAGCATTAAAGAAGAAATGAAGTCCTAGTCGAGGATAATTCCTTGTGTGGTTCTGAGAAACAAGTGATATAATCATACTTGGTCTCTTGACAAGATGTTTATATTGAGTTTTATGTAAGGCTCATCCTTTTTCAGTACTGATTGAGTGATGACCCTTACATAAAAAACGTACGAAGTTGAAAATGCTGCTATGGTATGTTATTGTGTTTCATTGCATGAGATGCATATGATGACAAAAAGTTTGTGAATTTTGAGGAATATGAATATCAATACTCTCAAAGGGGCAAGAAATCAACAAAATCAATCAGGGAAACTTTTAGAGGGACCTTAAAGCAAACAATTGAAGTTCTAAATTCCAAGGGAATTGCTTTTCAAGAAGGAAGCTTTTCTAAAGGATCATTGCAAGCAAGAAAAGGATGAGATTACGTAACTTACAATGCATTGCTCCCTAATCTAGGTCCAACAATACTTGGATTTATAGAAGCATTGTGGAAGGGTACACAATACCTAAGATGCTAAGATTAGGAATCAAGGAAGATGTACTTGTTATATTCTACCAATCAAAAGGTTGTTATTGAAGATGCACCAAGGAAGAACTCTTGCATGGGAAGCAAGACAGTCTTGCATTTGTTCATTGATTTTGGCGTGACTTGAAATTTTCTTGAGAAATCCATCATATATATATATATACACTATGACATGAAGTGTAGGTTGGTACTTAAGATGATATTCATCTTCTATGTTGAAGATGGAAGTGTGGAATGCTCTCCTTTAGATGGTGTAACATTGCCTTTTACCTTTTTATTTATTATAAAGTGAAGAATTTTGTGCTTGGTGTTTCATTTATTATAAAGAGAAGAATTTTGTGCTTGGTGGACCTTACTTAGGGTTTAAAATTTCATTCTTATATTTTGGTTTCAACCTAGACAACAATTGAATTACACCCAACCAATAGAGAGTCTTGACTGCTATGATTGCATCTTCTTGGTGGATATCATGGGGAGATTTATTCCTTAGAGTTATTTATTATAGTTTATTAACCATTGGAAAGGCTTCTTTGCAAAAATATTTATTGTTTGAGGTGGCAGATCCTGGATATGATGTCTATGGAGTATGTTCGTTGAATGTAATTATAAATATTGTTTTCCTCTTTCCCTAACTTAGAGTTTGGAAGCACAACTAGTTTAATAGATTTTAGCATCATTCAAGAACTTCAAACCAGTGTTATTAGGACTGGCCCGGTCGTCAAACCGATGAGGGCGTTGGTCCAGTCCAAACTGGTCAGATTGGCCAGTTCACCAGTTAGACTAGGCTGAAAAATATGAATAAAAAGAGAAGAAAAGTTATATAAGGTGTTAACCTTATACTATAGAAGTAAGCACACTTCGAAAATCCATCGGAAAAGGTTGTTTCGATGCTGCAAAGCCCTTCAATTGATCATCTGGACCTTAAGATGTATGGATATGAACAAAGAAGGATTTGAAGTCCTGAAAATAGTGCACCTCGTGACGTATTATGTGGACTGTCCATTTTTTAGATTTTCAAGTATTTACAGATCAGTTCGATCTACATCATTTTTGGAGTGTTAAATTTCATGATTAGCGGTGAATATATATTTCTAGGCTATAGACAACTTTCGACACAATTTATAGGTGTGCCTTAATTTGATTGTTTAAGTTTAGCAACTTGTACAAATCACATAGTTTGTATAATTGCTGTTAAAACCTATCTGAGCTGACCGATCTACACTGGTTTGATTGGTCTAAACTAGCTGGTTTAGACTTGTTTTGACTGGCTTTTGATCGGTTAAATGCTCCCCGCGATTTGGGATCCCTAACTGACTTGTTGCGGCACTTATTCACTGGTTCCCAATCCAAATTGGCTGATTTGGTCTAGTCTTGATAAGACCCGTTCTGCCCCTAACCAATATAATTCATATTTTTACGAAGTTAACAACCAATATAATTCATTATCATTGAAGAATCCTATCATTCTATTCCCAGTGATTTGTGGGCTCTGCAATTGTATATTATTACACCAATTAATGAAATGCTGTAGTAAGGGAAATTATGCTATCGATTCCATATTTGGATATTAAAAATTGGTCTCAAAATAGTTCATTTTTACAAAGAGATTCCTTTTTTTGACCTATTTATTGATGAAATTGCTCCTAGTTCAACCCTTGAAATGTCAAGCTACTATAAATTCATGATGGCTGTAGAGTGGTTATAAAAAATTAGTTTGACCCTTCGGGGTTCAAACTAGAATGTTCTTTTTAAAGCTTACCCGGTAGTTTGACCCTTGAAGGGTCCAATTACAATGTTTTTTTGTTTTTTTAAAACACCACCAAGTAGTTCGACCCTTCGAGGGTGGAGCTACACTTCGTCTTTTCTTTTTTTGTTATTTCACCTAGTACTTTTGCCCTTGAAGGCACGAACTCATTTGTTCTTCAATAAAACTTTAAATGAAACCTAAAGTTTGTTTTATAATCATTTAAAACGAAACTTTAAGTTTTGATTTTAAAGGGGAAGGGGTGTGTTATAGCCAAACCCTCTTCGAACTCCAAACTCTTCTCTCTCTCTCTCTCTCTCTCTCTCTTTCTCTATCTCTATCTCACTCTCCCCCCTCCATGTCCTTGGGATCGAGTCGAACTAGAGACTAAGAAATGAATGGGAGAACAATGCTCGTGCGCATGTTATGGCACAAAATGAGGTCTGCAAGACCTGACAATGACCCCATGCCTTGAGGCACCGATCTCGTCAACTGGTTAAAGCTGAGTTCAAGGGTTCGGAGGCTCTGTAAACAATTGAGAATTTTTTTTGCTTATATCGAAAGCCATTAGTTCTCTGCAATCACCTAGACTCTCAGGAATTGACCCAGTTATTCGACCCGGCACAACAGTGAGCTCCTGAAGTGACGAGAGGTGGCTTATCGAGCCGCGCGGTTGACCCATGAGCCTGGGTTACTAGCCTTAGCACTGCCAAGGTTCAGTGCCACCGCAATGTTGGGCTTGACCTCCATGTTATAAAGCACCTTAGGAAAGTTGTAGGAGTCAAAGGTGAAGTCCCATGAAGCCAACAAAGATGAACCAAGCTTGCCTTCCTTGCTTTTTGAGTGGGTGAAGTATAGGAAGCACCCCCAAATAGAAATGCACCAAGATTAATACACCCAATACTAGCCTCAACCCCATAATCTCTTCGTTTTCTCTCTCTACCTCTACTCTTTCTCCATTTTCTCTATCTGCCTCTACTCGTTCTCTATTTTCTATCAGTACCTTTACTTAATATCTCTAGTTTCTCTCTCTACGTCTGTTTTTTGTGATTAGAGCTCTATCGGGTTGTACATATAAACGACAGAGAAGTTCTTAAAGCTCGGTGGATCACGGGTGAGGCTTTGAGGATCTTTGCTTTCTTCTTAGCTTTATAATGGAGTTGCTCTTGCAAAATGGCATGATGGGTTTTTTTTCTCATGTACTAACTAAACAAGTAGTAGATGAAGAAAGAGAAAAAT